TATAATTTGTATATGGATTAATATATATTAATTTAACCAAGACACAGCATAGTAGTGACACCTAAGTCATCTCATAGCACAATGCAACAGAAAACGCAGAATCAAACTGTCCTTAAAATATATATGAAGGTAACGCAACACAATAAACGCACATATATACGCGTTCAAACAACCAATCCATATAAACCAAACTGTACCAGATTCTAATAGATTCTAATGAATTCCATTGAATCCATTATGTTGAGCATGCAATAAGGCCAATAAGACTACACTAAGGCATATAGACACATGTCATCACATAATAATGGAAATATGTAAATACGGCAGATAGGGTGAAATAAAATAAAACAAGCACTTATAAAGTCATTTAATTAATTAACCTAATTTATTCAATATACCATATGTCACCGCTAATCACCCCATTTGTTTATTTACTCAATTATAGTAATATAAAGAATAGGAGATAGGGAGTTATATAATACAATACAATACAGTTTACAGTGTAGCGCAAAATACTGCCTAAGTATAACCTAATGTAACTGAAATAACTGAGATGACTGAATATAATCCAAAATCTGAGATAATAATATAGTAATATAACATATTCAATACAATACTTTATTCAATACATAGATTGAATTGAACGGAGATAAAAGGTAATTGAATGTATTTGAATGTAATGTAATAAACATGAATATAAATACGACCATAATATAAAATTAGTAATAATATAATATATTATAATTTACACAAAGCTGAGTAACTAGCACCACTTGGAAACACATACACTGCAATGGAGCACAGTGCATCACGGCTGAGCGCGCATTTTCACCACAATCACCTTCGCACCAATTAAATTTACATTTAACTTAACTTAAATAGCAGAATTCAGTAATTAATTTAGTGAACACTTCACATCACAGATCACAGACGAGTAGATAATGCACAAATTTGCACAATGCCCGGAGAAGAGAAAAGTAAACACGCGTCACCGAAAACTATGTCACCTAAGACTGAAACCCGGGCCGAGTAAAAGAGCGAGAGCGAGACCATAAAGCATAAAACATATAGGGATAGAACCTAGTGTTCATAAAATTCCCTAGTTCACTCCATAATGGTTGGTTATCAACCGTCAAATTATCCACCAAACCATCAATTAAGTAATTAAGCAATTATAGAGAGTATATAAGTGCTCGTAAGCGAAAAGCGAAAATGCATAAACAAAACAGTTTGAACAAATCAAAATGACCAAAACCAAAGATAATGTACCTACAAAAGATGGCCATAAGCCGCAAGCTGTGCCTAGTTGGTAATCAACCGCAGTACCAAGGATATTACCAGCAACAAATATTCCGTTTACCAGACAGTGATACTCGGCCGCTCACTCCGTAACGGCTGTCCACAGGCAAATTATCTGCCGCGCAGTAGTCACCTACCACGTGCCAATTACCAGTTACACAGTTACCGACTGCAGAACTGTCCATCGTGCTGCCGCGCAATCCTGGGAAACCGTACTTACCATCAGACTTACCATCAAAGATAAGTCTGGTATACAATACTATAATCGAATAGATAATTATGCTAAATCAATGGAATCAGAGATAAACTTCAAACGGGCCAACATCAGGCATTAATTAATTAATATATAAAGAAATAAGTCAATATTATGGTTATAAATACAATACCTATATAAACATCATATAAGTTTGTGATAAAATAATAAGATAGAATATAATTATAGTTAAAACGCATAAAGTAGCCTGACACGATGTAAGTCAATAAAATAATTAGAAAAAATAAAATCATAAAATCAGCCCGAATAAGTCCCGCAGATTGCGCAGATTGCAGGACGCACTGCGTTACTGCATGATAACGTCGCAAAGAAACAAATTATACAAAAGGCAATGAAGATAAAGGAAAACAACCGCCAAGGAATGAGAGGCCGAATAAATAATAAAATAAGACCCTAAACCAAAGCAAAATCAATATGAAACGCATATAGTCAGGAAAACCCATGGAACCATTCAAACAACACCCAGTCAAATAATATTAATTAACAAAATAAATAAAACCAGAATAAAGTCAAGGCAGCAAGGCAACAAGCAACTGGCAGAAAGGAAATATGAATCAGAAAATAAATCAAAATAAATCAGATCAAATCAATGTATAACTATAATCAAACAACATCAAAAACCATCAAAATGAATAATGAATAATAAATGAATGAATGAATACTGAATGCGAGAGGAACAGCTGGAGATATTCACAAACTGAGGAACTACAGAAAATGAAAGTGTGTAACGCTTAACAGACATAGCTGACATAATGTAGTATAATGCAAAATAATGTAAAAGAAAATAAGATAAATACAACAGGTGAGTTATATTCTAATTAAATATGACCGTAAACATTATTGACTCCATCCCCACTACTTTATAAATTATAGATTATAAATTGTAAGTGATTATGTCCATGCAAATGCAAATAGAAGGTAAAAATTCATAACCGACTGATGTATAAAGATAGTAAATAATAAATATAATGACAAATAAAAACAAATCAAATATAAGGTGCGTGGTTCAATTAGACACCACACCATTACATAGTAAAAGAATAAAATAAAGGATAACAGATAAATAAATAAATAAGCAAAGAAGTAGGGTATTTGAAATGAAATTGAGATGGTGTGATTATAACAGAAGCCACGCGGTGTCAAGCATTTGAATGAACAAAATCATCTATCCTCTCAGGAAAATTAACCGTACTTAAATCCAAATAACTCTAAATAAATAATTGTAGATAATAAGCGAATGAATGAATGAGTGAGTGAGTGAGCAATAGAGCTATTAAAGAAGTTAATCAAGTTAAGGCATATAAAGGCAGATAGAGAGAGTAAGGAAAGTAAAGAAAGTGTAAAGTATATTATATAGACGAACGTAACTGACACAAAATAAAATAGAATAAGATACATTGAAGTGCATTCCACCAACAAGCACATCCATAAACTCATTCATACATCTCACATAAACGCAGTCGTCCAATGAGGCTAAATCAAATAAATTTACAAAATCCATTACGTTGAATATGCAATGAGGCAGATTATATTATCCTAAACAGACATAATATTAAGAAGGTACGGTAAGATAAAGCGAATACACTCAGCACTCAACAAGGCAACCAACAAGGCAACCAAGTGTTTCAGATATAGCTGTCAATTAACTTTATTCATTAATTAGTCGTAGAAAGATAATGATGCAAAATATTACACAGTACTAACTGAATTTATTGCATATAATATGTAAATTGGGTATCAGTATAAGTATAAAAATATGTATAAGTATAATAATAATAATATGTAAATATAAATATACAAATATATAAATAAATATAAATAAATATAATATATCAGAAAACGGAGCACAATAGCGCATATCATCACTCATTGCAATGGGTACACGCACAAATCACAAACACACACGCACCGATATTCAATATTCAATATTAATGGCCTAATCAAAACTCTCAGCAATTCAGCAATTTAACGATTCAATTAATATACGATCCTCCTCCATGTCTCAACCGAGTATATGGCACATGGAGATGGAGTAAACCAGTGCCGCCGATGATCATGTCAATCAGAGATAAGAAACCGCGTGAAGCTTAAGCTTAAGCCATAAACCATATGCCATATAGATGCGTAACCTTCGAGAAATTTTGTAAAATTTACAGTTCGTCCCATTATGTCTGTTGTCTATTAAATTAGTTATCAAATTAATTAATTGATTATTACACGGAACGTACAAGCGCCAGCGACCAAATACATCAATAAAACACTTTCAATAAATTACAGTGACCGAAACCAAACAGGAATAGAATGTAACGGAAGGTAACGATGGCGGAAAACATTCCGGTATCTCACTAAATAAAGTACGCAACACTATCCGTTGATAATAATTACAAATTATCCCTAGTTGGTAACCATCCGCAGCACCGGCAGCCAAATATTATCGGCCACAAGCATTCTACTTATTTACCATATAATACTCGGCCGTTCATCCCGTAACGGTTATCCACCGACCAACTATCCGCCGCGCAGCAGTTACCCACCGCGCGCTAGATATCTGCTACATCACAGTTACCGACAGCTAAACTATCCGTCGTGCAACCGCGCCATCCTAGGAAGCCATACTTACCATCAGACTTACCATAAAAGATAAGTCCGATGTCCAATACTATTCACGGAAAGGTAATTATAAACGGACAAATAAGATCCCAGACGGATTAAAATCATGAATAAATCAATTAATAAAACAATACCACGACTCACGGAAAAGGTAATTATAAAAGCAAACGCGCAACAAATAGAACCCCAGACGGATTAAAATCAAGAATAAATCAATTAATAAAACAATACCACGGCTATCATTTATTATTTATAAATATATAAATCATACGTTTGCAATAGTGTAGGATGAAGTAAATATTAAGCATAAATAATGATGAAGATAGAATGAAATGAAAGAAATGAAATCAACCCGAATAAGATCCGCAGATTGCAGGACGCATCATGTTACTGCCTATCGCGCCGCAGGAAACAAACTACGCAGAACAACGAAACCAAGAAACCGCCACAGAACGAAAGGCCGAATAAATAAACGAATGAAACATTCAACCTAAACAGAATCGAAATCAAATATAACCATTGTTCCGGCAAATTTCGTCGCGGCGTATTTCCCGCGATTGGAAATCTTTAGGAAAATAAGCGAGGTGCCGGATCGCGTTTACCGAAGCGCAGGAGTCTTGAAAAGGCGGAAGCAATGAACTCCACAGCAACGTGTTGCGTAGTTTTAGCAAAAACTCGTTGTATTTAATAAATTAACAGTTAGTCTTAGGAATAAAAAGTTTATATTTCAATCCTCTATTCACTGAATTAATCCGCGTTATTGCGGTTCGCCGAAGCACTTGGTTCGAGCGAAGCGCCAGAAAAAGAAAAAAGGAGAGATTTGCGGATATGAATTCTCCGAAAAGCGTTCGCGAGAGTTTCCTTGAAAACAAGAGTGAGCCCCGTCGCAGAGCGACGACAGGCTCGCACCTCTCCCTCTCTCTCCCGGCGTCCTCGCCCCACACCGCTGGCCAACGGCGTGAGAGAGATGGGCGCCGATGAGAGAGGGATGGCAATACGACAGAAGTCAGTCGCGTTAGACATTCGGGAAACAGTTCGCTCGAACAACCATCTCACAACGTCAAATAACGCATATAGTCAGGAAAGTCACGTAGGACCAATCAAGCAACATCCAGTCAGTTAATAAAATAAAATAAACCAAAATAGAATCAAAGCAACCAAGGCAGCAGGTATCTAGCAGAAAGGAAATATAAAAGAAAAGAAAAGAAGCAAACAAGGTAATGATTGTAATAACGCATAATAAATTTAAACAAGAGTAGCACAAGTTAATGACATGAATATTAATTCCTACAGGAACAGCACACCGTCATCAAAAAGCTATACTATTATCGAAGAGAAACGGCTTGAATAAATTAAATTAAAGAATACCAGAGAAGAATATCAAAATGTCAAAATGTCCAAGGAATGTCCAAGGATAGAGGTGACAAGAAATAAAATAAAATAAATGATGGTAAACAGTGATACGTGGCACAAATAAATTAAATATAGAAAAATATATATAGGATAATCGTATGCAAACAAACCATAATTATATTAATATTAATACCATTTACAGAACTTATCATGAGTCAAAATAAATTAAATCTTAACAGTTACCTTGATTCAATTAATTCAGAATGAATGAACAATGACAGCATGAAATGAACGACTGAACAATGAAATCAATTAAAGATATTAAAGAAGAATGAAGTAAAAAATAATAATAAGCATAAAGTATAAAGTGAAGGCTGTAACCAACCTAATGTAGATAATGTAATGTAATGCACTGTAATATAAGTAATGCAATATACTGTAAAACAGAATGTAATAATAAACTGAATACAAAATACAAAATACAAGAAATGAACTCAATAAATATAAACGTAAAGATTATTAACTACAATACTCTATTTCTCACTAGAGTAGATTATAAGTTAGATTGTAAACGGTAAATGGTAGATGATAAATGATCATGTCAATACAATTGCAAACAGAACTAATTAATGAATGACATATCAAAATAGAGTAGCTAAAGCAACAAATAAATGAACCAAATATAAAGTACGCAGTTCAATAAACACTATACCAGTGTATAAACTGAAATAACAATAAAATGAAGTAAAATAAAATAGAATAAATAAATAAGTAAATAATAAATAAGAGTACTTGAATGATAAGATTATAATAAAATTCACGCACAATCAAAACATTTGGATGGACAAAACCACTTAACATTGTAGAGAGAGCAAAACGTAATTAAAATAAAGTAAAATAAAGTAATATAAATCATATCCATTAACTTTAATTGATCAGAATGAATGAGTGAATGAATAATGAATAATGAATAAATAATAAATGAATGAATGGAACGATTAAGGAAATTAAAGATTAAGGAAAATAAAAAAGGTTGAAGGCGTGAGTGAGACCAAAAAGCAGTAATATGTCAGAACGGATAAACAATGAGAGAATGAATGAATGACTGAACAGCGAAATAATCAATTAAAGATAATAAAGAAGAATGAGGTAAATAACAAGATAAATAATAAGGCATAAAATATAAAGTGAAGGCTGTAACCAACATAATGTAAATAATGTCATGTAATGTAATGTAATATAATGTAAAACAAAATGAAATATACTAAAATAGAATACAAAATACCAGAAGTGAACTCAATGAAATATAACCGTAAAGATTATTAGCTACAACACTCTATTTCCTCACCAAAGTAGATTATAACCTAAATTATAAATGGTAAACGATTATGTCAATGCAAATGCAAATAGAACTGATTATTGGATGACGTATCAAATTAAAATAGCTAAAGCAACAATGAAATCAAATGTAAAGTACGTAGTTCAATACACACTATACCAGTGTATAAACTGAAATAAGAATAAAATGAAATAAAATAAAATAGAATAAATAAATAAGTATATAATAAATAAGAGTACTTGAATGATAAGATTATAATAAAATTCACGCACAATCAAAGCATTTGGATGGACAAAACCACCTATCATTGTAGAGAGAGCAAAACTTAATTAAAATAAAGTAAAATAAGGTAAAATAAATCATATCCATTAACTTTAATTGATCAGAATGAATGAGTGAAAGAGTAATGAATAATGAATAATGAATGAATGAATGGAACGATTAAGGAAATTAAAGATTAAGGAAAATAAAGAAGATAATGAAAATAAAGAAAATAAAGAAGGTAAGAAGGCGTGAGTGAGAGCAAAAAGCAGGAATGTGTCAGAACGGATAAACAATGAGAGAATGAAAGAATGAATGACTGAATGGTGAAATAGTCAATTAAAGATAATAAAGATGAATGAGGTAAATAACAAGATAAATAATAAGGCATAAAATATAAAGTGAAGGCTATAACCAACGTAATGTAAATAATGTCATGTAATGTAATGTAATATAATGTAAAACAAAATGAAATATACTAAAATAGAATACAAAATACAAGAAGTGAACTCAATGAAATATAACCGTTAAGATTATTAGCTACAACACTCTATTTCCTCACCAAAGTAGGTTACAAACTAAATCACAAATGGTAAATGGTAAATGATAAATGATTATGTCAATGCAAATGCAAATAGAACTGGTTATTGAATGACGTATCAAAATAAAGTAACTAAAGCGACCAATAAATCAAATCAAATCAAATGTAAACTGCTTAGTTCGATAAACACTATACCAGTGTATAGACTAACAATAAATAAATAAATAAGTAAATAAGTAAATAAGGATACTTAAGTGATAATATTATAACAAACCATGCACGATCAAAGCATTTGAATGGACAAAACCACTCATCATCATAGAAATAAAAACTAAAGTAGAATAAATCATATCATATCCATTAATTTAACTTTAATTGATCAGAATGAATGAATGAGTTAATGAATAATGACGGAATGAATGGGAAGATTAAGGAAAGATTTAGAAAAATAAAGAAGGTAAGGAAGGTAACGTGAGTGAAAGAAGGCATGAATGAAAGCAAGAAAGCGTGAATGTAATACAATATTATAAGTAAGTAAGTAAAGGAAAGGAAAGTAAATGAGCACCCACCACGCAACAAATAAACTACACAAAACAATTTACACCAAAAGCACAAAAGCAATCCCTCATCGCACCACATCATTAAAACAAACACACTAAATCTGAAATAAACTAAAACAAAACTGGAACTGGAACAAGAGGAACAATTAAAAACACAACCCGGATTGTCCAATTTATTTATTTATTAATCAATTCAATTTATTTCAGCACATGTCACTGCTGCATCGTCGTGCAAAGACCAAAATGAAATATGTAAGCCACGATATAAGGAAGAAATAAAGGAATAAATACGATGAATACTATGAATGAGATAATCGAAAATCAAAATCGAAAGAACAAGAAAAGTAAACCGCGTAACCGCATAAACCACGTAACCACGTAACCAATAAACACGTTAAATACGTTGCACCACGGATATGAATCGATGAAAATGACAAATATAATAAAATAAAATAATAAACCAAACAGTAAGCCGAACAACCGGATGACAAGCGGACTACGTATTGAATCACAAAATAAAAGGAAATAAATAAATGCAATACCCGTAATGACGTGAAAGACATGAAATAATATGAACCATGAGATATGAAATATGAATGTAGATGGTAAATAAAATAAATAAAATAGAATACGATGGGTAATGAAATAAATAAAACGAGGCAGCAATGTAAATCGCGTAAACCATTAACACATGAAAAAGCGATATTAACCACTGATATTAATATATATAGAACCAAATAGAACGGTAAATACGATAAGACGATAAATAAATTGAACAATTAAATCACGCAGAGGGACGTAAAGTAAATTGCGCAGGTTTATTAATCACACAATTATACCGTTGCGAATAAATAAATAAATAAAAGACAACAATGAGATAAAATAAAATTACGGTAATAAACGAATAAAACAGAAATGAATATAACGCAAGTTGCATAAATTATCAAGGCACACTACCCCACTGTACTATAATAAATAAATAAAATAAATAAATGAAACAAATGAAACAAATAACACAGAATAACACAAAATAGTATGAAATATAAATATGTAAGTATAAACAGCGAAGGAAAAGTAAAATAAAATATAGAACACTATAAACGATAAAATAATGAAGCGAAACATAAAATAAAATGAAAATTGATAAACGCGTTAAAATGACAATAGAAAATAATGAAAATAATAAAATAAGAAAAGAAAATAAGAAAATAGGATGAATAAATATGCAAAACCGGAAACACTGGATAATCGAATAATCGAATCGATTAATCGATTGTGTTAATAAATAATAAATAATTAAATAATACAGCGGAATAACGCGCCAGTCAAACGCATGCAACCAGATAGTAAAATAAAGTAAATTAATATTAATAACACAAATAACGATGAAATAACGATGAAATATCGAAAAATCGAAAAATAATGAAAAATATCGATGCACTTTCACACAAATCACTTAATAAACCGACGCAATTAAGGGCACAGACTCCTTGTGCCATGACCTGTATGCGTGCACTCACACAATCAACGGAAAGCATGCACGTATACGCCATGCGCGAGAGAGACATTCAATTTCGTAGAATCGATTTTTCGTCTTGATAATTGCATAAATAAAATTTTCGCGAGTACAGCACACACGGGTAGACTTCGGCACAGGTCGGTCTGGTCCGCTTGAACGCTAATAAACACCATTCGTTGAGAAAAACCGTATTTTCGAAATTGTAAGATTGAGACATGTAAGATTGTAAGCAAACAACATGGCTGCCGAATGCTGCGTTCGGCTGCATTTTAGCAAATATTGGACGATTTAATGGTTTTTTCACCGACAGCACACCAGACCGACTTTCCTTAAACTAGCACAATATCACTGAAATTCGATTTTTCACAATTTATCACTTCTGGAAGACGTAAAATCGATTCTACGATTTGCACGCATCAGACGTAAAATAGACATAAGAATAGTTCAATGATTTTCCGTCAGAGGCATTGATGGTATATTTGACCACGTTATCATCAGGGTCGATAAAAACACAAATCAGTCGATAAATGTAAATTCTAATTTGACACCACCAACGGCTACGCGAATATAGCCACAAGTAAGGCATAGTTGCCGCAACGTACTGTTCACATCTGTTACAAATCGAATCATCAGCTCGAGCCGAGAAAGAGGTCCGAGAATGAAACAATACATATATTAATGTGTGCAACCATAAAACTGTTTAATTCATATTTATAATCATGTTTTTTTAACAATGCAATTAAAGATATGCCAGAAGAATGAATTATAAAACTTGCTTATTTCGCAATATTTTACAAAATAATACACATAACGTACGCGACCATAAAACTTATAGGAATGAGAACTACAGGACATTATTAATTTCAAGAAGGTGAAGCGGAGGTAGTGAGAATGCAACAATTATTGAGTAATTCTTACATTAATTCTAAACGCGTCCTATAAATATAAAACAAATAATCGGCGGCCGATGCTCGCCGGTGACAACTGATCGCGCGGACGGCGTAATACGTGCGAGTGCGAGTGCGAGTGAGAAAGCAAGATGGCGAGACGGACTGTGTTTTGTCGCACAGAATGACATCGGTTTTGTCTGTCTCGTCGCGAATATTCTCACCCGCGAGTCTGACGCGATTATTCGCCGGAGATCCGCTACGAAGGGAATAAAAAATAAACAGATGTGTAATTTCTTGAAATTTTTTATTTATTTATAAAAATTAAAAACGTATTCTCCTCCTCCTCCACGACGGCCTCCTCGTCGCCCTTGGCGCCTGCCACCGCGATAGCCGCCGTGACCACCGCGATAGCCGCCGCGGCCGCCGCTGTATAAAATTTTTTTTAACATCTTCTTGATCTGAAATATAATAATGAATTTTAATATAATTGTAGCGGACTATATATTCCATTATGTAAGATTGTGACATTATTAAAAAACCAAAAATAATCGTGGAAATTCATTTGCTACTATTGTAGAAATGATTTCCGTTTCACGAAAATCTAATTCTGCCACATTCATTACAT